AAAGAACAAATACACCCCTATCCCTCAGCTACTTCATAACTTTAACATTTGAGGTTGTTGGCCTGACGTATCTTCCCTGCCCTTTGCGGGAGGGGACAATTACTTTTCACTCTTCCCCCCACAAATACCTGACAACCAGAATGGGCCAGATTATTAGAAGGATTTTACGACACTTAGTTCTGGGCAAAAAGGGGATTAGAAAGGACAGGCTTGTTAAGATTTAACAGAAAAATAATGGGAGGAAGACTTGGAGAAAAGAGATGGAGGACAGACCAACCAGGATGGAATGGCCTGACAACATTCAACATCAAGCACCGCAGGCATATCTACATATTTAGGTGGCATTCTGTCCTCTTACCACAGGTGATGTTTTAAATAGGTTCACATTCACACAGAAGTGTGAAATATTATTCTGTCCTATGGTTTTCAAACACTTTCCCAGGATTCCTCAGATGCTTACTGGGATTTCTTAATAAGACCACTTAATAACAAATAAGCTTCCCGGAAAGACAGCTTGGCCCCCACTGCTGAGTTTATTCTAGGGCCCACTCTTGGATCATGCATGGTGACACTGAGGACCAGCAATACTGGTTGGTATGAACCTTAGAATGTGCTTTGGACTCTGGGTGTTCCTTGGCAGAATTTGATTTGAAAGGTAGGAAGTTAGAATGGTGGTTTTCTTACTACCATACTTCCTTAACTTATTCTTAGCTCATTTGCTCAGGAGGCTTAAGGACATGGAGTGAAGAGCCCATTGTATGTTGGTTTTTGCATGCCTCTAAATTGAATATGAAATTTATTACTTGCTGTAATAAAATAGGTCACAGGGGTATACTCTGATCCAATTAATACTATAACCTACTTGCTTGCAACATTTCGTAGTCTATTAACAAAAAATTCCTGGTTGGGGTAAGAAATGCTCCTGGTGTGATATTTTTGAGAGAATGTTGAGAAATAGCACCTTAGGATAAATGTAGTTGTTGGAATATAATAGGTTTTTTTCATGTCTATTGTTCTATAAGCACCAAGAATTCTTTGCAGCAACTACTATATTCCAGGCTCTCCTGTGCAATTTCCATTTATTTCAGTAAGTTTTTCAGAATTCTTTTCCATTCTAAACAAAATGAGAGGCGTTTTGGGGGGGGCGTTTTGTGTGTGTTTGTGAGACCCACATCGTATCCCATTACAACTTGACAGGTTGCTATTGGGAGATGGACAACTGTAACCTCAACAAAATGTTGCAGTGTGGAATGTTTCTTTTCAGTATGTCAGCCATAGTGCAAAAAAAGTTGCTACCGGATTTTGTGGTCCTATGTGCAAATGAGGTTGAAGTAGCCAAAACATGAGTGTTTTCTGTGAACATGCTGGCTGTGGTCCTGCTCCCAGTTATGTGAAATAATTACTTATCATTAAGATACCGTATTTTTCGCACTATAGGACGCACTTTTTCCCCTCCAAAAATGAAGGGGAAATGTGTGTGCGTCCTATGGTGCGAATGCAGGCTTTTGCTGAAGCCTGGAGAGCGAGAGGGGTCCGTGCGCACCGACCCCTCTCGCTCTCCAGGCTTCAGGAAGCTATCCCAAGTCTTGCAAGCCGGGCGGGATGTCCAGCGGGCTCGCAAGGCTTGCGGGCAGCAGCCTGCACCCAAAAGCTGGGGACAGCGGGGAGGCGCAGAGCCGCCACCCCGCTATTCCCCGACATGATCTGGAGGCTGGCGGGGGGAGAAGCAAGCCTGCTTCTCCCCCCCCCTCAGCCCCACAACCTCCAGATCAGGTCGTGGAATAGCGGGATGGCGGCGCTCCGCCATCCCGCTATTCCCCGACCTGAACTGGAGCCTGGGGGCGGGAGAAGCAAGCCTGCTTCTCCCCCCCCAGCCCCACAACCTCCAGATCAGGTCGGGAAATAGCAGGATGGCGGCGCTCCGCCATCCCGCTATTCCCCGACCTGATCTGGAGGCTGGGGGTGGGAGAAGCAAGCCTGCTTCTCCCCCCCCCCTCAGCCCCACAACCTCCAGATCAGGTCGTGGAATAGCGGGATGGCGGCGCTCCGCCATCCCGCTATTCCCCGACCTGAACTGGAGCCTGGGGGCGGGAGAAGCAAGCCTGCTTCTCCCCCCCCCAGCCCCACAACCTCCAGATCAGGTCGGGAAATAGCGGGATGGCGGCGCTCCGCCATCCCGCTATTCCCCGACCTGATCTGGAGGCTGGGGGTGGGAGAAGCAAGCCTGCTTCTCCCCCCCCCCTCAGCCCCACAACCTCCAGATCAGGTCGTGGAATAGCGGGATGGCGGCGCTCCGCCATCCCGCTATTCCCCGACCTGATCTGGAGCCTGGGGGCGGGAGAAGCAAGCCTGCTTCTCCCCCCCCCCAGCCCCACAACCTCCAGATCAGGTCGGGAAATAGCGGGATGGCGGCGCTCCGCCATCCCGCTATTCCCCGACCTGATCTGGAGGCTGGGGGTGGGAGAAGCAAGCCTGCTTCTCCCCCCCCCTCAGCCCCACAACCTCCAGATCAGGTCGTGGAATAGCGGGATGGCGGCGCTCCGCCATCCCGCTATTCCCCGACCTGATCTGGAGGCTGGGGGTGGGAGAAGCAAGCCTGCTTCTCCCCCCCACCAGCCCCACAACCTCCAGATCAGGTCGTGGAATAGCGGGATGGCGGTGCCCCGCCATCCCGCTATTCCCCGACCTGATCTGGAGGCTGGGGGTGGGAGAAGCAAGCCTGCTTCTCCCCCCCACCAGCCCCACAACCTCCAGGCTTCAGGAGAGCCCCACCGCCAGCCCCACAAGCTCGGGGGACAGCGGGAGAGGCGCAGCGCGCCCTTCCCGCTGTCCCCCGACTTGGCTAGAAGGCTGGCGGGGGGAGAAGCCTGCTCCTCCCCGTCGCCAGCCCCGCAAACTCGGGGGACAGCGGGAGAGGCGCAGCGCGCCTTTGCCGCTGTCCCCCGACTTGTCTAGAAGGCTGGCGGGGGGAGAAGCCTGCTCCTCCCCGTCGCCAGCCCCGCAAACTCGGGAGACAGCGGCAGGGGCGCAGCGCGCCCTTCCCGCTGTCCCCCGACTTGGTTAGAAGGCTGGCCCAGCCCCGCAAACTCGGGGGACAGCGGGAGAGGCGCAGCGCGCCATCCCGCTGTCTCCCGACATGGTTTGGAGGCTGGCGGAAGGCTTCCTCCTCCCCCAGCCCCGCAAGCTCCCAGAGCGATGCCAAAGCTGCGCGCAGCTTCGGCATGGCTCTGGGTCCCGTTCTGGGGGAGGGGGAAGCTCGGGCTGGGGGGGAATAAATTTTTTTTGCCTTTATTTCCCCCCCCCCCCAAATCTAGGTGCGTCCTATGGACCGGTGCGTCCAATAGTCCGAAAAATACGGTAAATGGGATTAACTGTGTGCTGGTTTTCTAGAGGGGCAGTTGTGTTAGTCTGTTGCATCAAAGAGTCTTGATGCAACTTAAAGCCTGACAAATGTATTGCAGCATAAGCTTATGCCAAAATAAATGCATTACAGTGGAACCTTGGGTTGTGGATGTAATCCATGATGGAAGCACGTCTGCAACCTGCAGCGTTCACATCCTGAAGCGCTGCATCTGCTCTGGTGCAATTTGGCGCTTCTGCACGATTTAGCACTTCTGCGCATGCGCGAACAGCGAAACCCGGAAGTAACCCGTTCCGGTACTTCCGGGTTTCCTGCAGTCCGCAACCCAAAAACATATAACCTGAAGCGTCCGTAACATGAGGCATGACTGTATTGTTTATAAGGTGCCACAAGGCCTTCTGTATATTGGACTGGATCCACAGTGAGTTTTTTTAATTTAAAAACAAACAATTAACAAAAAAGAAATCTGTCAACACACTTCTCAGGTCTTTTAACTGCTTTCCCCACCCCCAAAGAAGTTCATCAGATGTCATGTAAGCCAGGACCTGGTGTTCCTGCTGTCAGCAGGATCTAATGCCTCCTTTGGTGGCATGAGAGTGCGAAGAACCCTGTGTCAGACGAGAGTGCCAAAGCTACTGCAAACGCTATGTTAAAGAACAGATGGCATTAGAACATCTCTGTGCCTGTTGCACCTTCTCATCAGTCAAGCTGCTATATCATACCTTAAAGTGGTGCCATCTCCACACATTTACTTTCATTTCCCTCAGGGAAAGGTGTACATTCCCCACCTGATTTTTTAGCCTGTAGAATGCAGCGTTTCTCAACCCACACCACCCAACTCTCCTGCAGATCACTGCTCATCAAACGTTCTTGCTCCAGGGGATCCTTTCCTCAGTTACTTGTTTGCTGCAGAACTCCTGCACGTTGTGAGTGATTCTGGGATGTGTCCATGCATCCCGCATTGCCAGGCTGGCTAGGCCTCTCCGTTGCTAAGCAAGACCTGAAGGCTTAACCCAGAACAGTGGTAGCCAGTGTGCTGCCCTCCAGATGGAAAGAAGTTGGAGTCAAACAAAATCCAGATGGCTACTCTTCTGCAAACTTCATTCATGGGGCTGTGGTGTGTCAAATAGTCAAACAGATTTTAAATTTCATTTTTATTGCTTTTTATTTCTTAACATTACAATTTGAATAAAATTAAAAAGTCCTACAGCATCTAGCACAGCATGTTACATTTGCTACGGCAATTAAAAAATTATTGAGTGGTCTGCCAAGAGCCTCAGCAATTTTCAAGTTGTCTGTGGAGAAGAAAGTTTGGGATCCCCTTCTTTAGACAGCTTTCTCCCAAAGCTGTCACTTTAGAGGGCAAATCAGGAAGCTGTATTTCAGGGAAGTTTCTCCACCAGTTTTGATCATTTATTGAGGTGCTCCTGACCATTTCCCAAGGATCTCCAGATTGCCCTCTAACACTACTGCGCTTGCATAAGCTCATGCAAAAGCAACCCCAGAGTTGTCTTTGACTGGACCTAATGGTCAGGGGTACCTTTACCTTTACCTTGATGCCCATATGTTCACTCACATAATGTATGATCATTTATCTTTGTCTTAAGGTGGACTTCTTTTGCCTCTTCTCTTACTACAGGAAATGGTTTTGTGAATTCACGAGCTTCACCAGGCCTGCTTAGCAGCACCGGGGGTGGGAATGGCCTAAGCAAAGGGATGCCTACAAAATCTCCCCCTCCCCCTGGCGGGGGCAACCTTGGAATGAACAGTCGCAAGCCAGACCTCCGGGTTGTCATCCCTCCCTCTAGCAAAGGCATGATGCCTCCATTGGTAAGTTTAGCTTTTTGACTTATTAGTAGCTTGGAGAAAGACAAAAGAGACCTTGATCAGGAAGCTAAGAACAAACATTGGCTTGAGAATGTGGTTTGGTGAGAAACAAACTTGCAAGCACTGGTTCAGATGTTACACAAAGCCAGGCGCTCCATGGTTTGTTTTCCTGCTCAACTAAGGGAGGAGCGAAGTGGTCACAGTGAATGGCTTAGTGTTGCGTTCGAATGCAGGCACTGTCAACAGAGCATGCCCATCTATAAGGGCAAACAGATGGTACTGTAAACATGATTCATATTCCTGCACTGGAGGGCATGTACATGTGAACTTGGCAAACAGTGGGCTTTTTTTGGAAGCAGTTTTCAAGGGCACAAGGGCTTGCTTTTCTCCAAGCAAAGTACATTGAGGCTTCTCTAAAGTAACTGTGAATTGGTCAAATTTGGGTGTGGATTCTTTGCTTTTGATCATTTTAAATGTGTTTTTCCCATCAACTGTGTGTTGACAATAGGAGTCAGTAGACAGGCTGTAAGTTTACTATACTAAGAAGAAGAAGAGTCCTACTGGGTTAGAGCTTTCTCTCTAGCCTAGCACCCAGTTCCCCCACAACTACAGTGGTGCCCCGCAAGACGAAATTAATTCGTTCCGCAAGTTTTGTCGTCTAGCGAATTTTTCGTCTTGCGAATTATTATTTAGACAAAGGAAACAGAGTCGCGAGACGTTTTCGTCTTGCGAAGCAAGCCCATAGGGAAATTCGTCTTGCGAGGCAACTCGCAAACGGAAAAACCTTTCGTCTAGCGAGTTTTTTGTCTTGCGAGGCATTCGTCTTGCGAGGTACCACTGTAGATGCTTCTGGGAAGCTGGCATAGTATAATGTAATGCTTCTTTGCCTACTGAATCACATCGTAACTTTGGAATATTAGTGAGGCTAAAAATAGCTAGCTCATTAAGCACCAACACGACTCTTTCATTCTTGAATACTGTCCTATTCTCAGTAACCTTATTATTCCTCTTATTTGCTGAGTACAGTCGGAGGAGGATGAATTGGAGTTGGTGAGTCTGGGTTCCTATTTGGTATGAGACATCAAGATCCAGAGAGCTTTCATGTTAACTGTCTGTTGTAGCTTAGACCAACATTCCCTTTGCTGCAGAGAGAAGCCGGTTGTGATTGGTTTATTTCAAGTTTCTACATTGACCAACGGAATATGGAAAACTAATAAATATTTGCCAAAAACGTTAATATTTTTACCAGTGGTGTTGCAAAGGGGAACGTTGGAACAGAGCCTCTAACAGCAACTGTCCACTGTGCACATTGAGGAGCCTTGAAATTTTCTTCTAAGGCACCTTATATTCCATGTCAAACTCTACAGTGATTTACTTCACTCATGAAGTTCTGCAAATTGTAATACAGTTCCTGTGTTGCTGCTGCTGCTGCTTTGCTTCTTGGAGATTACATCATTCCTGGTGAGGTCACCATTTTAGAGATCAAGTTAATTTCATGCTCTACAAGAGAAGCAAACCACAAGGGGGTTCCCTGTTTACCAAAAGAAACATACAATTGCAAGCTATTTTCCAATTTAGTGGGGAGGGGAAATGTTTTAGCCTTTTAAAAAGGTTTTTCACAAAGTATTTTTTATGATTTGGTCTCTGGCACACATAAAGCTCTTTCTTTGTTGACTGGAACCTGGCTGTCTTTGCTGTTCTAGTGCAATCATTTTGTAAAGAACTGATTTATTACAAACCTGTGTGGAATTATTGTAGTGCTTTTTATCAATTATTTTAACCCCAGACATGTTGCTGATATGGGGCTCTTGTTGCATGAAAGCATGGGATTGCTGTGTTTGTCTTGGCAAATGCATCGTGTTGGGTACTACGTGTGTGTTTTCAAACCGAAATATAAAGTTCTGTACAAGGTGTAATGGAGCTTATCAACAAACAACCTTTTGCTTCTCTGCATCCATATGCTAAGCGCTAGTGATTATCAAAAGCCCTGTAATTTGTTGCACCTGTGCTCAACTTCCAGAGGGAAAAACGTCTTTTCCCTAGGAAAATGCTAAAGTAACAAGGGGCACTTAGCAGAATTCTGCTAACGAAGTCACTATCATGTGCTATTTTAAGTCGTGTTTGTATTGCTTGTCTTGTGGTTCTTGCAGCAAAGTTCTGTTAGTTTCACAGCAAAGTTCTTTAGGACCTCAGTGCATAATCTGTTGTGTAGTTCCGCTTCTTCATAAGAAGCAGGGCAGATAACTGTTCAGTTACAAAAAAGAAAAAAACCCAACCTTTTGGTTTAGCGTGTTACGTTAAGGGCTTTCCATAAATTCACTCATTCTCCAAAATACAGCAAAATTGTAGCTTTTCAGACCACGCTCTTCACAGGGTGGTATTTATGCAATGTGAATAGTCTGATATCCTATCTTGTGGTTAGTTCAAGCTTCACCATTACTTTGGAACTGGATGGCTGTCAGTGACAGAGGGGTTGAGTCTAAGTCCCAGATTTGTCTGTTCATTGGAATAGACCCATGGAATCTCTGCGAATGAAGTTACCATTTCACATTACAAGCACCCAACTGGCAAATGCCAAACACATAAAATAATAGTTGGAAGGGACCTGGAAGGCCATCTAATTAATGTCCTGCTGCAGATATTTATCCATAAGGCACAAGGCAAATAACTATTTTGGCACCTTTCATATTCACATTCTGTGAAGTAGATGGTTTTATAAACTGGGCGCTAAAGATGTGCAGAGTTGGTCAACATAAGGTTAGCCAGTGATTCACATTCATGGCCCAGTGGTTCCTATGAACAACTTGCGGAGGGTGTAGCTGTGTTAGTCTGTTGCAACAAGTCTTGTGTGTGCACTGTAAAGACACAACAAATTTATGATGGCATAAGCTTTTGAGGATTAGAGTCCACTTCAACAGGCTGCTTGTTTCTCCTGCCTCTCAAGTATGAGATCCACAGCTTAGATGCTTTCCCCTGAACTGTTGTGATGAAGCATTACATAAATACGGAAGATGTTCCTTGAATTAATTTGAAGCATTTCTAGTATGATGATGAGCTTCATGCTAAAGCCTCCCATTTCAAATAATGAATGCATAAAATGCAGGCAAGGCACCTACTGCTTTGCTTACAAGGTTCAAACTCAGTCTGCAGTCCTGGTCATCTAGCTGAAGGCTGCTTTTACATTTTATAACATTTGAGCGCATACACATGAGACTTGGCGTGTATCTGCACCGCACCCACAAACCACTCAAAGGAGATGCATGCTTATTTTAATTCCGTGTAAGCATCCAGTGTTGCCTTTATTGTGCTGTGTTTATTTGTTACATCCATACATTCTCCTTCCATCAGAATTGCACTGTTTGCGTTGGGTGTGTGTGTGACTGTGCTAAATCTTGCAACCTGTCAAAAGTGCAACGCTGAAGTAGCTCTCAATTTCAATAGACAAGGGCAAAGAGTGATTTCAAGTATGCAAGCTATAGGAAAGGGTTGCCCTCTGGTGGTGTGAGTTGCTTCCTGCAGGAAAGTATGCAGCTAGTTGGAGGAAAAAACCCTCCTCCAAGCAACTAGGTCATACGTTTGTCATACAAGTTGAAGGTAGCTCAGGCTATATTGCTGCTCTAGGCAAATATTTCAGTGTGCCTTCTCCATACCATGCTTTTTTCTAGACAGGGAATAGGGATTGTAAGGTCTTCGCAAGGGTTTTCCTGACCGGACCTCTCCACCCTCCCCGTGCTGCATAAATGAGTAGACCAGGTGGAAAGGGCTGCAATTGGGGAGATAATACAGTACTGTCCCAGATTGTAGTGGCAGAGGCTGCTACATATTTCTCTCTTCCTCTTTACCCCCCACACCAGCTCACCGTAGGTTTTGCAGAGTAGCCTGGCCTCTCTTGAAATCTAGCACCTCGGGCAGCTTCCTGACCTGCTTATTGGGTTTAGCTTGTCGCAGAGCTAGATTTTTCAGTCTTGAAATTCAGTTGCTTAGACAGCTCCATTTTTCTCAGCAATTCCCGTCCCCCGCCCCAAACCCACTCCATTGCACCTTGACCGAAGAAACCAAACAAATTCAAGCCCTCTCAGCTTCTGACATGTGGACCTGAACTAGTTTTGTATCATCTGTAGAAACTCTTCTTTGACAAGGCATATTACTAGCGAGGAGGGTGACTTTGGAGAGTTGCATTTATTTTGTGGTGTGTGCACAATCTCCTTTTGGTGCAGTTGGGTTGATAATACTGCACACAATGCATTTTATATTACTTCATCTAGTACTACTTATGGCCTTACCTCTTATGCTCCATTTTACAGAATGCTCATATGGAGTTGAGTGTGACTGGTCCTAGGTTAGTCATGGCATCCCAGCACTCTCCCCTCTGAATGACAGTGGCTCAGAAATAGGTTTACATTTCCCTCTCTCTGATGGTTTGTCTTGGCTTTCAAGAAATATTACACTAGACAAGGAAGAGGTTGCCTCAACCTGTGATTAAATTTCATTGTGGATTTGCCTTAACTGGGTTCTATGTTCTTGTTAAAAAATTTTTTTACAGAACACACAGCGGTTAAGCAGCTCTCAGTCTACGCAGTCTCTTGCAACACCAGTTGTGTCTGTGACAACTCCAAGCTTGCCCCCACAAGGATTGGTGTACTCTGCAATGCCTACAGCTTACAACACTGGTAAGCTATTCACTTGTTTGCTCTCCCTTCTCCCCTGGGTTTTGTTTTTTTTTGGGGGGGGGGAGAAGCCACTGAGAATAACACAAGATTTAAAACTCCAGTAAATAAAAACTTAATGGTCTTTTAAATGTCTTAAATTTGAAAAGCTAAGCGTTTAAATGCCAGTGAAATTAAAAGTTATTTGCCTGGCACCCAAATGATAGCAAAGTAGTAGGCACCATGGAAGGGTGTTCTATAGTTGAGAATATGACCTGCCTCACTTGCAGTCCAAAGTGGTACACTCCAGAATTCTGCCACTTCATTCTGTGTAATATGTTGGTCAGCTGTTTGAATCTCTGAGGCAGCTATATCTTGCCAGTGTTCTTTTTTTCCTTTTAAACATTTTTCTGAAGTATGCTAGATAGTTATTTTAATTTAAATCATGATAGTTTGACTTAGTCCCTGAACTTATCAATATCTAATGTGCAGACATTTCTGTAGCAAGCTGTCATAGCTGCTTTGTGAAAGCTTGAAGTTAAAAACAAAATAAGTCTTGTTGGTAAAAAGCAAGCAGTGAGGAGACCCCAGAAAATAAAAACAAAACCTGTCTTTACAAATAATAACCTAGTACCTTGTTAAGCATTTGGTGTGGTCACTGAGAGATCCCATCTACCCTGTTTTTGCTATAGGAACTCAAGCATCTATGGCAATGTCATATTGGACTCCTTTGACATTGTGCTGGCACAGCAGTTGGTGTGTCTTATCCTAATCACCTACTTGCTGGCACAGCAAATTTGCAGGGATGAGCTCCTGGAGAGATGCGTAATCAAGCATCTGAGGTTTAAACTCAAAGACGATTCAGTCCCTAGAAGCTCCTGTTAAAATATAACTGAAGGACTTTGACCTCTCTTAATAGTGCTGTAGGCCCTATTAGATGCTCACACCACTTTCATGAACATTCAGACCTAATTTAAAAGATGTCTCTGATCTGACTTACATTTATTTTATTTTATTTATTAAATTTGTATACCACCTTTTTTATCTGAAGATCACAGGGCGCTTCACAACATAAAAAGACAAAATGAATAATAATAATAATAATAATAATAATAATTTAAAAAAAACAGAGACAAAAGCAACATGCATTATGATTTTTGGATTGATTTTGCATACTCAAGTATTCTTGATTTTGAAGTCCAAGGAAGTTCTCTTGACTTCAGTCTCTGATATCCTAGACGATAATTTATGGATTAAAAAAACCACCCGGAGATGAAAATTGTATCTGTCTCACGGGAACACACTTTTATCTCCTTTCCCCCAAGAGGGTAGAGCATATATAAAGCTGTATTAGAACGTGATTAAGTGTAGAAAAGCTTTTACAGCTCTCTTTCCAAATTCAAAGGAAAAACAAGTGATAATTATGAACTGAAATAACTTCTTATGTGTGAATCAGTAGTGATAACACTCTTAAGTACTATATATCCTAGATTTAAAACTCAAATATCTAATTGGTCAAGAACATAGAGGTTTAGTTTTGCATGCTGCATTCATGCAACTTTTGAGAGAGATGTTGTTGATTCAACTGTTTGAGTCAGCCACTTCGCAGCACGTAAAATGAAAAATGGGTCTAAAAAAAAAGACAGGTAACATGCAGTTCTTCAGTCTTTGTTATGCTGTCCATGGGAGCTTGCTGTTAATTCCAGCATTCTTTCCTTCCTTATGAATGTGCACCTAGAATTCATTTTTGGTATATAAATTCTATCAAGGATTCTTGTACTTTGACTTGCAAGCAGAAAGCAGATAAGAGACTGTCATGCACAGGCTCACAACTCCTGCCAGTGTTTCAACATTCATCCCCCAAGAGCGAAAATAACAGCAGAATTAATGGTGGGGGGTTTATTTTGCCTTTTGTTTTGATGGCACTGTAGTCTGGAAAGATGGTAGCAATATGCCTTGGAAACCAAAAGGGCATGAGACAAAGCCACGAGTAACTTGGGAGAGTCCCTTTTGAACCAATCTCATAGCTTCCAAGGAATGAGTTTGATGTAAAATCCATGCTACTTGGAGACTGATGTTGGAGTTTCTCCTTTCATATCAGCATTTGCAACTTTTGCTGGTGTAGAATGGATTTCTGCCTTACCAAATTTCATTGTCCGAATAACATTCCTTACTAGTTTCGCTTGCCGTGAACTTGCAGGGGTTGCAAAGTGCTGGTTTTAAAGCTGTAGATTTCATCATGCACTTTAACAGTGAATCTGACAGTGAATTCAGGTGGTTTAGTGCCTATCAGTTTGGAAATGAAACCAGGGGCACCCCAAAACTAGGCAGCTGCCTCTGCATTCTTGGGGAGTAACTTTGGCATGCAGAAAGTTTGTACATTGGAAGTGTTTGTATTACAATGTGTTTGTGGTTTTATTGAAATTTTAATAGCCTAATTTATTTGTGTATGCTTTTTTATTCGTCTTGCTTGGTGAGCTTAGTAGCCAGTGGATGTTAAAAGAAAAGAAGACCATTTAAAATCCCCAAACTGCCTCAAAATATCTGTCAGGTCCCAGGACTTAGAGAATGTGGGTAGCAAGGGGCAGGGATGGTGCAAAGGTACCAGAAATCAGCAGACTGTGTGAGTCTTATCAGTTAAGTGTATGTTTGAGAGCAGTTCAGACATTCCAGTTTTTGCAGGGGTGGGGGCTGCGGGGAGGAAGAAGAAGGAAGTTGGCTGTTTCAGACTTATAGTAAGAATCCTGGAGAGGCAGGTTAAGTTTACGAGGATGTTGTGAGTGCAATCCCTCTTGCTATGCTATATAGGAATATTTCTGGAGGAAGTAAAATTGAAAGCACACCTTTCTCCCTCTCCAGAACCAGACCTATCCACCCCTGCAATATAGCAATAAAAAAGCTCAGATTTGGGACTCAACCTGACCTGAGCCATTTGGTACTACATAGGAGACTAGGTGAAGGTCAAGAGAGAGAAAGAAAAGGGCTACATTTGTCCATTTTCTTTTGATTGGATTATACAGGAACATAGAGGGGGGAAATATAGCTTTAGAACCATTAGTTCTCTTTGGGCCTAGCCTTGAGAGTCACTGGAATGGAGGGCATGTGTGAATTACACTTTTTAATAATGGTATAGAGAAAATTTGCCCTTTGGGTCTTGAGGTGAAGTTAGCAGTTTTAAGATCGCAGTCTTCCAAACCAGGCTCAAAGCCGTTCTGCCATAGTGTGCCTGAGGGAGTTGTCATGGATTCAAATGCCTGTCCTCAACACAGTGCTGGCTGGTGTCAGCCCATGAATCTGTAACTTACACTTTCTGATGAATACATGGTACAAATAATTTTTTTCCCTTTCTTGCTCCTTTCTTCCTTTCAGATTATTCCTTGACTAGTGCAGACCTGTCAGCCCTGCAGGGTTTTAACTCCCCAGGAATGCTGTCATTAGGACAAGTATCTGCCTGGCAACAGCATCATCTAGGACAAGCAGCCCTCAGCTCCCTTGTGTAAGTGGGAACACACTCCCGCCCCCATTCCCTGGAGGATTGGCAGCCTTTGCTAAGTTACACCCAACTAGGCACCTCTTCCATTTAGCCCACAAGCTCAGACTTGGCCCTATTTGGTTAGGCACAATGTTCTTTAACACTTCACTTTGAGTGGGTTGGGTATACATGGGTAGCTTGATCGGTGTACATACTGATTTGTGACTTGTAGGTGTTTTGCAACTCAGTGGGCTTGGAAAGTTATTTTGTAGGGAAATTCTTCTGCTCCTGCTTGTGCATTCATTGTCCAGCGCACCTCCCCCACCCTGCAAATAGTGATATTTTAACCTTCACTTCATTTGAATAAATACTCCAATACAAATGAAACTGACTTGACCATGAAGAAACTAAGCGGAGGGGTTGCCAGGAACTAGGCCACACACTTAGAGCTTGCGCATATGGCTCTAAATGGATTGCCGATCTGAGCACTCAGGCCTCTATTACTGAATTGAAGGAACAGCAGCATTTAAAAGTGCTCTATTAGTCATGTACAAACTTGGGTTTTTTAATTGTCCTTCGTGACAGTTTCATTAAGCAGACTGGGGAATGAGTGATCTCAGGCACCCTCTGCACCCTCTATGTTGGGAGCTGCTCCTGGCAGTTGACTAGATGAGTTGTTTTGGATTGCAGCAGTGTAGCTTGTTCTGTAGTGGCTAAAACACCGAAGGGCAACATTATTTTATTACATACACCTGTTTTAAAAACTGTTGATTGTATCTATATTTTGATAAATTTTATAGTGTGCTGTTTTTAAAGTCTGTTTTTATCTATTTAATGAGTATTTTATGTAAACCGCTTAATAATTTTTTTTAATTAAGTGGTATATAAATCTTGCTCCATTGGTTGGATAATAATGCACTGTCCTGGACTGTCTGAGCATCATAAATCTGGGTGGTGCATGAACACCTGTTGTGCATAGCAATTGGCCTGGTTTGCACGCAATGCTAAACCATGACTTAGGGTTAGGTGCAATAGCCTCTGTGAGTCTCATCAAAGCCTTGGACTCAAAAACTCCCACCTCCCCTCATAGGAATATAGGAAGCTGCCTTATACTGAGACAGGCCACTGGTCCATCTAGGTCAGTACTGTCTTCACCAACTGGCAGTGGCTCTCCAGGGTTTCAAGCAAGGGACATTCCCAACTCTACTTCAGAGGTTTTCCTTACATGCTAGCAGTATATAAATTTTCTTGAATAAAAGAAATTAAAGAAACATGTAGGTGGTGGGGCTTAAACCTGGGACCTTTTGCATGCAAAACAGATGCTCTACCACTGAGCTACAGCCCTCTTCCTGCACAACCAGGAGGAATGCAGTTGGTCAGTTGCAAAATAAGCTAACTTCAAACCTTGATTTGTTTTAACATACTAGAGTTTATTTTTTAAACCACACTTCTGTTCAAACATACCAACAAGCCAGAAATTGGGGAAAGCAGAACGGAATCTCTATGTGCTTGTCTTTCTGGTCACACAGTGGAAAGGGAAGGGTGGGGGCATTCAGAGGCTCAGGCATGTAATGCCAAGCCATGGTTTAGCGTTGCCTGCAAACTAGCCCATTGTCTTTTGGAACAGAAGGGTATGTTAAAACCTGTGTACATGCAGCCAGATTTGTTCTCAGTCTTGTCCAGCGTTGCTGCTTTTCCTTTCCCCCTGCCGTTTCCTTTTGTGTTTGCCTTTCTGAAAGTTTGGGTGACGGGGCTGTGCCTTGCTTATAGCTCATCTCTGTGAAACCCTATAAATAACGTTGCTTTTCTCCTCCCACCCCACCTCCGGTTTTAATTTTTTACTAGGACTGGAAGCCAGTTATCTCAGGGTTCCAACTTATCTATTAACACCAACCAAAACATTAACATCAAGTCCGAGCCAATTTCGCCTCCTCGAGACCGGGTGACCCCATCCGCGTTCCCCCAGCAGCAGCAGCAGCAACAACAGCAGCAACCTCAGCAACAATCACGTCAGGAAATGGGCCGCTCTCCCGTCGACAGTCTCAGTAGCTCCAGCAGTTCGTACGATGGCAGCGACCGGGAGGACCCGAGGAGTGACTTCCACTCGCCGGTTGGACTGGGAAGGCCCCCCAATTCAGAAGACAGAGAGAGCCCGACCGTAAAGCGGATGAGAATGGATACTTGGGTGACATAAGCTTCCCATTCTCCCTTTCTCCCTTCCGTTTCTACTTTTGAGTTATCCCAATGGACAGTCCTGACATATCTAAATTTATAAATAAGGACATGAAAGAAATATTTATATGTATATACATACATGCATATATATAAATATATATATCTTTGTATACATATACATGTGTGAGTGTGTGAAGCAAGGCACACATACTCTCTCTTTCTCTCCCTCACACACAAAATCAGCAGGCACTTAAATACCAACTCCTCCTATAGCTGCAGATGCCCCGTGGTTTTTAAAACACAGTATAACAGAAAAGAACCCTTCCTAGGTATTGGTCTAGTCTGGCACTTAACCTGGACTTTGCTCCTTGAATAATGTAACCTGTTTTGCAAAATAAATGTCGTACCCGTATGTAATCTACCAAACTAGATGGCCGAGGCGTGAGGGCTCGCCTGTAGTCGTGTTCCTGTGTGTGTGTGTTTTCCAACAGCCGTACTGTCCCCTGTAGTTAAGAGTACGCTTTGTAGCAGCAGAGCCGTAGAAAAAGAAAGCAATACTGTACATAGAATGACCTTTATATTACCCAATCAAGCATGGGTCTCTCTCTCTCTTACGAAAGGGTGCATGGAGAAGGGCTGGCAATGTTGAAAACAAAACAAGAAAACCCCAACACCTGTATTTGCACGTGCAAAACTATACTGGGTCAAATTAAGGGTATCCCCCTTTTTTCCCTTTTACCAAGTGTGAAAGAGAGACACAAAGAACGTGCATGGAATATTCAAAAGATATTAGACTAGAAGATAGTCCGTAAAGAAAATTTTAATATATTAAGTTATAATTGGAAAATGTTTGAAATCTTTCTTACGTTCCCCCTACCTTTTTAAAAAAATAGAGAAAAACAATTTTAGCTTGTGTATATTTTTTATTAAAGAAACCATACCCTTCTCTAAGACTATATAGAAAGTTATATACAGTACTTTTGAACACATTCTGCTATGAATTATTTATATAAGCCAAAGCTGTATGGTGTCGCGCTTTTTTTTTTGTAGAATATAGTTTTGTTTTTTGATTGTCTATTTTTTTGGTCTTTTGTTTTTAGGGGAGGAAGGAAAAAAAAATCTTGCAGGCAGAACCTTGGGGAAAAATAAGCCATGAATACTTATTATTCTATATGTAAATTTAAAATTTGAGCCAAACTTTGTGTATATAGCATCTTAAATATATTATCACCTTTTGGTGTAAGTACCTATGTATTGTACGTTCGCCAGATTAAAAAAGTATATTTTTGTGGATTGACGCCAACTTGAAGAAAAAAAAAGGCGAGGTCCTTATTAAGTAGAGTATTCACTGTTTAATATTTACTATTTTGTTCAATATACTGTACTTCCTTTTGGATTTTAATTAATATTATCCAGATTTTTTCAGAGGGTGTTTAAAAAGGGGCTGTTCCCCACTCACTGGTGGTGAATGTGTGTTAAAACATTTTTGTGCTGTATGGTAAGGCTTCATAATACATTTTATAAATATATATATACATATATGTGTATATATATACATATATAAATATATGTATATAGATAGCAAAGTGATACCCACCCTTCCAATCCCATCCAGAAAACCTGGTGTTAAGTTCATCCTGCATAAATAGAAAATAAAATGCATTTGGGGGGGGGGTAAAGGCTGTGGGTTGTTGCCAAGGTTAATCATACTCAGAGTTCACTGGTTTGAAATTGACATGGCTGACTTTAAAGTCAACTAATTTCAGTGGGTCTATCCTGAGTAGAATTAAGGTGGTTACAACCTGTTATTTTAAAACTGCCTCTTTGGGGGTGGGGAAGATTACCTTATTGTTCATGCTGAAGTAGCAGAAACATACATCAGAAGCAAAAAATAAAAGGGTTTTGAAGTGGTGTGTGGGTTGGGGACAAAGTGTTTCAGAAGTTTCCTTTTCTTAATGCTCGGTATCCTTTAAATCAGAGCACCACCTCAAGTGATGTGGCTGGTCAGTGCTTTGCATGTGTGGCGGGTAGGGGGCGCTGATTCTACAATCGCAGCTTGAGAGCTCTGCTTCTCATGATACCTGTGGAAACAACACGTTTTCTGAAACATCTAACTGCAGGGAGCAACAGTAGGCCAGCAGATCCCTGTGGCATGTTTACATAACCAAACATGTTTTGTGATGCATATTTGAGTATGTACATGCTACATCTTTAGGGCCAAACTAGATATGGTGCTGAACGTGTCCTTGCATTTTGATGTGCACACGTTTTAAAGCAGGCGTCGGCCAGGCTTACCGGGCATGGGCCGGATCACTCCCATGGAGATCCTTCTTGGGCCGGGCCGGTGCAGTGCAATGCCGGAAATCACATCTGTGCATGTCCGCGGCGCCGGAAATTGTTTCTGTGCATGCCCAGACACCGAAAATCATGCCTGCACAGAAGTGATTTCCGGCATCTGGGCATGCGCAGAAGCGATTTCTGGTGCTGCAGACATGCACAGAAGCAATTTCTGGAGCCGGGGAAGAGAGTCCCTGCTGTGCTGGTTTAGCGTAGCACGCGGGGACTCGCCTAGTGGGCAGCTCGGTTCGGGGGTGGCTCATGGGCCGGTTAAATGGTCTCCATGGACTGCTTCTGGCCCATGGGCCGCTGTTTGGGGACCCCTGTTTTAAAGCATTCAAATTGGTAGAGGTAGGATTTTAAACCCCTCTCTCCTGTTGCAGTTCTTGACTCTTCCAAAGCTGCTGTTTGCATTAGGAGAAGTGCTCCCATTGATATTTATTATTATTATTCTTTATTAAATTTGCATACCACCCTTCATCCGAAGAGCCCAGGGTGGTTCACAACAGAAAAATACAAAATGAGAATACAAAATCTATAATAAAGCAAAAACAGGTGCATTTAAAGTTTAATATACTGTTGCATTTGGCTTGGTCTTAATGAGCATATATTGGCCGTGCATGCCAAAGTAACACATGCAGTAGCTGAACTATCCCCCCCCAAAGCCCTTAACCTATTATAGGAGAAAGTAAAGCCTTTGTTACTTAGAAATCTGGATTTAAAACAACCTAAACTCTCTCTAACTTTTGGCAAAATATCAATAAAACTAAGCAAGAGCCAAGAGTTGAATAGGAGCTCTCAATTTATTTTTTCTGTAATATATCCTCAAGTGGCTACCTTAGTTATTTATTTTTAAAGATAAGCAAGGTATGGGCAAAACTATGCCCTGTATAATTCATTTCACCTATAATTCTTCCCCACCTTATGTAAAAATTGTACAAACTGGTGGTGGATTATGTGCTTTATAGCTGGCTCCGGTTTAGTTTTCATTAAGGGTTCTGTAAATGCATAAGCTTCTAGGATCTCTCTTTCTTAGAAGCATTTTGAGGAACTAATGCACACTAGGTACTGTTACTTCTGTCTGGATAGGGTAGAGCAGAAAATGTCCCAGTGGTCTGTCAGCTTCCTCCCTCCCCCCCCTCCAAAAAAAATCACACTTAACACAGAAACCACACCACTGCTTCATAGATCCTTTTGATGCTTCGGATTGGTATGATTCTCCTGCACTATTTATGCACCTACATGAACTTTGCTGTACATTTGAATGGGAGTTCTTCATTTCACATTTACTGTCTGATTTCTTGTGTGCCTTAATGAGATGGCTTTGCTGACTGTATCCCAATAGTCTCTTATTCCTATGCAGGTTTGTAACGAGTTACATCAACTTTTTCCCCCGTTAAAAAAAGAAAAGAAAAATATATAGTTTTGGCTTTGTACTTGAATCGAGCCGGCCAATTTTCTTTCTTTCTTTCTTAAAGAAATAATAATAATCCGTTCTTAGGGTCAGACTGTTAACTTTCAGCTAATCTCCTTGTTCCAGGATCAGGTCCTATCCATTGTCTCCTGCAAAAGAGCTTTACATCATGAAAACAAAACATGCTGACTTTTTTTATATAATTAACACTAATAATGTAACTCTAGATGTTTTGAAAGTCTTACACAGTGGTCTTAGAGATAAAGATAGTTGCAGCAGGGCAGAGGATTGTGTGTGTGCGCAGCTCTGTCCTGTACTTTGGCATGGGAGCGAGTCAGTGTTTCTATGCTGTCATTTGCTATTCCTTCGTACCAAATACTAGATTTTGCACTGAAGCACCTGGCCCCATAACGGCCCAGAATGCCTTTAGGCTGGTACACTGATGAGCCCCCTTCCCCAGGCCCACTGCACTGCTCCATTGAATAAAAACCTTAATATTGCAAGGCACAAAGTTAAAAGTCACTTAGCAGTATGCTCCCCCCCCCCAACTGGTAAAATGTTGTTGCGCAAGAGAATTCGTAAGCAGGTTGCTTGTAATTTGGTTGTGCAATAGATTGCGACGTCTGTTGCGAACAAGTTTCTGCTAGCGCAACTGCTGCATCAAATTCCACCTGCTAGCACCAGAAACTTTGTGCTAGTAGACAGAGCATGGGGTACAGCCCCAAGTGTTGTAGCTAATGTGGCAGCAGAGGCTTTTGAGGGTCCCACTTTGGCCAGAGTCTCAAACAAGCTCCAGTTTCTGAGCAAAAGTACCTCATGCTTCTTAGAAAACCATTTTTTGCAATATGAAGGGAGTTACGCTATATCATTGCAGGGCAGAGGTCGGGGAGACAGAAGAAGGTGCTATTTAAACTTGCTGAAAAATCATACTGGGCGCCTGCAGGTCCTTTGCTATGCCCAAAGTAGCTTTATATCTCTCAGTCCCCTTAAGCCCAAGGTTTTTAGGGCAACTGTTTTAAGCCATTCCAGATGTGAAGGGAAATACATGGTGTGGTTTCTGCGTCAGGGGAATTGTTGCTTGGAAGAGCTCCTGTGCCACACTCCCCATTTGGGAGAAACTGCCACGCCGGTCCTGTTAGCTTTTCAAATGCAGGGTGCTTTGGGCTGGGAAGTGCTTTCAAAGAAGCGACAATCTCAACCTCTTTCCTTAACAGGTTCTGAGGTGCTACTGGCTCTTTAAGAGGGCTGTACCAATCTTGCTAAGATTCAGCTTTTGCAAATTCAACAGCAGCTTGTACAATGAAGCTATTCAAAGACACGCACCCCTTTTATTTTTAGAACCATGGAATATTGTGACAGTAAAAATAAATAAAGTGTAAGTAGAATCAATGGCATTTTAATTGAAGGTTGCAATTGGATTAAATCTTGTGCAAATCCAGATTGCTAGAATTGGGGTCAAATGTTGCATATGGTGGACATAGCAATACTGACTTGTTCGTACCTGGTATCTCTCTTTTTTAAAAAAGAAGTAAGGCATGTTGGAAATGCTTTAGCCTTTAAACTATAAAGGACACTAATGCATTGACAAGTCTACTGTGCGCACAAGAAATATATAGTAAATAAGGAACATAAATGACTCCTGCCAAATCAACCATGGGAAGAAGTTTAAAATTTAGAATGTGAAAAGACTTTAAAAAAAAATATTGGGAAATTTCCTCACTTTGCTGTGCAAGAAAACACTGCTTTGCTATATTTAAAAAGAAAAGCTTTTTTTAAAATAAGAAAAAAATATATGTATTTGGTAAATGTTTGTAGTCAACAGTTCACAGACGAAGCTGTTTGCGGTTAAAGCCGTCTGGCGGCACAAGCTGGACTTTGTTGCCATCTTTGAGACGAATCTTTAAGAAAAAAAATTAAGTTAATCTTTTTCCCTGAATGTGGTGTTTTTTTCTTCATTATACAATAAATATTCTAGTGAACTTTTTATCAAATGGTTAAGAAAATGCTAGAAGTTGTTGTAAAATATTTGTATCTTGCATTCACTAAAGTAAAAATACTGGCTTTTACTGTGTATATCGGACTCTCTCTCATATTTAAACTGAAGCTCTCAAATCTTTTCCCTTCTGTCAGCACCTAAACTTGGATTTGGTCCTGTTTCCTTGCCCATAAAGATCCAGGCTTACAGGTACAAATGAAGCACTTGCATATATTTGAAGGTGTATTCCACCCTGCATTCCAGTTGTGAGCCAGGTAAAACAAGATGGAATAAAAAGTATTTCCTTCTGGCTTAAACTTCACTGTTTAAAGAGGAGTGGCCCTCCAGATGTTGTACTGTAGTTTCCATCATCCCCTAACCATTGGCCATGCTGGCTGGGGCTGATGGGAGTTGGTGGTTCAACATCTGGAGCTCCTTGGATTCTCTGCTTCTTTCACCTTTTTCCCCAAATGCATGACTAGCTTTTAATCCTGGTCTTCAACATTTGTTTCCAAGGTTCATACTTATCCCCCTTTTCTGCCCAGATGCCTAGGTTAAAAAAATAAATAAATCAGTTGCCTGTGCAGTGAATTTTGTCTGCTCCCCACCCCCCACCCCAGTTTGCTTTTAAGTAGTTGCATAGAAGAGGGAATTTTTACAAAGGCAAGCAGTCTTCCTTGTGTTGTCACTCAATTTCCCCCAACTTTTTTTTTTTAAAAAAACACCTTTTAACATGTTATGCAGACATGGTGGGGCCTACTTGAATGATATAAAAATAAGCCTGTTTTTATCTGGAACATGTGGTAGACTACACCTGCATGAACTAATAGACACACCCTTCCTGTGTCCATTTATTCATCAGTGCCTCTGTTATTCAGTAGGTGGCGAAAGATGCTTTCTGCTGGCCTAGTTTTAAACTTCACCACTGAAAATGACTTTGGTTTCTTTGGACTGAATCATACCTTTTTAGAAAAGCTGATTCTTGCTCTCACCTTCACCTACGTGTTAGCTTTACTTCCTGGCATGAAGAGCAGGCTGGATTTATTAGTGGCTCCAGAAAATTTGTTGAGCTCCTTGGGCTAAAAATATTCAAGAGTGTAGCTACAGATGCTTAAAATCAATTCACTGTTGTTTTTCTTAGCTCTCACAAATGCCTGTATGTTGACTTTTTTTTTTTTGCCACCTAAACCTGATTTTTGTGCAACTTTGTGTTAACTAATAAAGTTCTAAGATCCTGAACAGAGCTGGAACAAAGCACTTAACATTATTTACAAGATTTGTTGCCCCTGTGAGTAGGAAACCTGGAAGCATCAGGCATAACTTTTCCAATAGGAAGTATCCTCCACTTTGGTATACTAAATGTTCTTTCAAAAACCAAACCAAACCAAACCAAACCAAAACCAAAACCCAAGTTCTCTGCCAGAGACCATAAACTTTTTGTATTAAAACTGACATAAATCCAATTGCTCTAACTTTGAACATAGTATTTAAGAACATAAGAAGCCCATCTAGTCTAGCATCCTATTCTCACAGTGGCCAAGCAGATGCCTATGGGAAACCCATAAGCAGGACGCAAGTGCAACCCCCCCCCCCGAAATCCCCACCCACTGGTATTCAGAAGCTGGTGGGAATTGTCGCCCAACAACTTATGGAGGGTAACACATTGGCTATTCCCGTCTTAGGCTATAGTCAGTGGTCACTTGATGGGCTGAGCAATGTCTGGTTTTCAACATCGTGATATGTCACCAGCTAAACATTGCGATATACTGCTGTCTGAAATAAGGACGGAACTATGTAGAGGCGAATGGGGAAATGTCCAGGCAGCTGCTACTACTTAAGAGTCTAAAACCGATACATTTTTACTTACCTTTAACATACTGTTACAGCTGTTATTTATAGTACAGAGCAACATGGGTAGCAGGAATCATGAGAGAAGTGATGACCCATAGCTGTCAACTTTTCCCTTTTCTTGCGAGGAATCCTATTCTGAATAAGGGAATTTCCCTTTTAAAAAAGGAAACGTTGACAGCTATGGCGATGACCCGATTACGGTTTCCCCACATCTTGTTTTTTTACATAGCACATGCACACATCGTGATATCACCATGCCAACTGTTATGAAGCTTACCACGATGTGGTCTTCAAACTGATTTTGGATGATGTATCGTTACATCACCCAGCCCTAATGGGCACTGTACCCCAAACAGCTGGAGGGCATGACCACTGCTACCCTCTGCTCTAGACTGGCATAAGGATGCCTCTCAAATGTTCTCTTATAGTTCCCTATGTGTACTCTGCCCTTAAATTTCTGTGCTAAAGTAATCGGGATTCTCCACCAAGAAAATCTGAATTATGTGGCCTGCATACATTATGCAAACTTTTTAATATTTATTTTTGCTAGTTGTTGGAAGGGCAAGGACACTGAAGCCTAAACCACTAGATATGTCCCCCACTTAATTTTCAATGTCTGATGATGTACAATCTTTTATATATGCTGTAAGCCACCCAGAGTGGCTGGGGAAAACCCAGCCAGATGGGTGGGGTATAAATAATAATATGATAAATTATTGCCACAAAGACTAGAAGCTTTTTAAAATGAAAGCTGAGATTGTCAGGAAGCTGATTTCTTCAGCCATTCGTGTATTCTCTTTTTTCTGTATGGAGCTGTGCTGAGTCCAGACTCTTTTGCTGAACCCCTTAAAAAAACAACACACACTGCAAGACAGAGAAGCTTGGTGAGTCATGCCTGATCCTTGGCTGGGATTGACATGTGTCTAGCCAACATGAGAAACTCCATGCAAGTATTTTTAAAGGTCACTGCTCTGGATTTCCTATCTTAAAAGTCTTGTTTGTTTTTCTTTATAGCTATTTGATTGATATCACAGAATAAAAAGGGGGCTTCTTGCAGAGTTTTCTGAACACAGTCCTCACCTTCCGCCCTGCCATACTGTTCTGGACCAAATTCCTCTTTGTTGTAAATGCGTTGTCAGGTTTGCTGTGAGAGAGGTGGAATGGAAATTAATACTTTGTGCTCTGGCCCGAACATTTAGGGAGTGTCGTGTTTTGCTGTCTGAAAGATCTGCAGCTGAAACAGATTTAGCCTGTTTTCCATTACGATGAGCTTTTGCCAGTTTCCATGGGCATGGAGTTAAGACTTTGGGAGTGATTAAAGTGTGTGTGTGTGTGTGTGTGTGTGTGTGTGTGTGTGTGTGTCCTGCCCCACTCCCAAATTAATGCTTTATGGAGAGAAGTAAAGAAAACGTAGGTGCTAATAGCTTTTGCTGGTCTGAAGAGGCCCTGATCAGCCACAGGAACAGGCAGGTAACTACTTTGGGCTACAATACTGTTCACTCAGTTATAGTCATTCAAAGCATCTATAAAACTGCTTTTCGGGGCAGTGCTCTCCCAGTGCATCATGTACAAAAAGAACAACACAATATACAGTAGCTACACCGGGGGGGGGGGGGAGAGAACACTTCCAATGTGAGAGCCATTTTGAATTGCTTTAGGGATAACCAACATGATGTCCTTCCATCTCTTGTTGGGACTACAACTCCCATCAGTCTCGGCTAGCACAGCCAGTTGTTGGGAATGATGGGAATTGAGTCCAGGAAGGCAGTGGGCCACTAGTCACTGCCTCTAGGCCCAGCCTACCTCCCATTCTTGGTGTGAGGATGAAATAGAAAGCAGGACCGCTCTTTATGCCACTCTGAGCTCCTTAGAGGAAAGGTGATGTTTAAATCTAACAATAAATAAGCAAACAGCTAGAGGGCTCCACATTGGTTATGGCCACACCTGCTAGTTTGGGAAAGGCAGCCTTGAAAAAATAGATTTTCTTTTCTGCCTTTTGTGTTTGCCATCTTACCAGAAGGACCTCTGGGAGCAATGGGTAGAAACATACGGCTGAAGGCACTGAAGTCAAACTTGCAAAAGGAGCCAATGTGAAAATGGGAGGAGTCTCCACCATCTGTATTCAGGAGGGAGGAGATTCCCTCCCACTGGGCTTGGGGTCTTAGCCCTGGTGCTTGCTATGAGAAAAATGGGGCAGGAGTGCCCACATACGACTCTTTGCTTGCCTTGTATACCCCACCTTTTCTCCAAATAGCTCTCAAGGTGGCCTATATTCTCTTCCTCCCTGTTTTACTCTCATAGCAAGCCTTTTACGTAGGGTAGGCTCAGGCTGAGGGGCAGTGGCTGGCCCAAGGTCACCCAGGGAACTTCGTGGCTGAGCAAGAATTTCAACCCTGGTCTGCCAGGTCCTAGTCCAACACACTAACCACTCCAATCCACTGGCTCTCCCCTTTAACCTTTGCATCTGTCCTAAAAGGAATAGCCGTCATTTAGTTCAGCAGTGGCTACAACAGCCTCGTCAGAAAGGGCATAGTGCATCAGACAATTGGTCCATCTTGTTCAGTGCTATTCACAGACTGACTGTGGTTCTTCAGGCAAATTTTCCCAGCCCTACCTAGAGATGAACCAGGCACCTTCTTCAGGCAAAGCAGAGGCTCTTTATCGCTGAGCTACAGCCCTTCCCTAAGCAGTGACGGTGGAGAGTGTGTGGTATGGGGAGGAGAGAGGATGAAGATTACCAGCAACACCACCCTGAGCTCATTAGAGAAAGAGGAGGCGATGCAAGTAAAATAGAAATCTTAAACCTTGTATCTCCCATGTATTTGTGTATGTGTAAACCAAGCTTGAGATGACGACTAGGTTCTTCTCTTCTTTTTTAGCAGAAGTGTATATGCGAAGGAAGCTTTATTGTATGCAAAGGAAGACTGGAGCTGCTCCTGCCATTTAAGACAAGATGACTTTTAATAAACCGGCAGTTAATTTAAATATATATCTATATAGCCCAGGTGATAGGCTAGGCCTGTTTCCTCAGAAAGACCAAACCTCTCAGAGTCTTGAAAGAGGCAGCAAGCATAAAATGAGATTTGCCCCCAATAACACAAGGGGGGGGGGGATATGATCACATCTCCACCTTAAAGTGCTGTCATACCGCTTTAACGAGCCTCCAAAGCAACCTGGGAGCTGTAATTTTGTCAAGGATGATGAGAGTTGGTAAGAGACACCACCTGCAATTCCCCTCACAGAGCTACCATTCTCAGGCTGGCTTCACAATCAATGGTTCCTCCCAGCGAACTCTCAGAATTGTAGCTCCATGAAGGGAATCATGGTGGTCTAACAACTCTCAGCACCCTTAACAAACTACAGCTCCCAGGATGCCTTGGGGGAAGCCCCAACTAGAATGTAAGGTGCAAATGTGGCCAAAATTTTTAGAGCAAAAAGGGTGGACAGGGGAGGAGTGCAGAACCTTCTCCCTAGGTGCCCTTCCCCCAGCTGAGTCTGCTTCTGATATCTGGCTGAAGACTGGTACTGGGGAGCACACAACCTACAAGAGGGTTCAGGATCTGCACCCTCACTTGCACCCCCTTTTGCTGTTTAAAAGTGAGCCATCCCACCATTCCCTTTGTGACTGACCAGCCACTGTCCATGTCTTGCTCTGTCCTGGTCTTCCTTGATCTCATTTCCAAGTTGAGCTCCTAACAACCTAAGAAGCAACTGATCTGTTGTTGGCTCATCCCACAACATTATTTCAAAGCAAAGAGACTTCCCTCCACTTTTTGAGGGGTGGGGTGGCGTAACAGACAGAGTCATCCCCCTGACGGAAGGAAGTCTCCTCCTCTGTGGGTTTGGATAGTGGGCAGAGGTTCTTTAAGCACAGGGAGGACGGGTGTCCCCCTCACTGACCCGTCAGTGTTGTTCACAGGAAGAGTTGTGTTGGAGGTAGTAGTCACTTCCAGCTGTTGGGTTTTAAAATAGACAATATAAAACACTGGCAAAATGATTCCTACGAGGAGCATAATGAAAACTGCATTCCACCACTGGATCCCACAGTCTGCTCCAGCACCGATTTCCTTCCTCCCTGAAGGTGACCGGTTTGGTGTTTCGATGCAATAGTCTGTGCTTGGGGAGACATCCAGCAGAGTTGCCTTCTCAATGTCCTGGTCGATCCCTCTGAAATACTGATCGATTTGCTCGGTGTCTTTGGAGCTGCCGTCTCCCTCTTTGGACCCAGACGGTTCAGCAGGTAACAACAGACCAGCTCTCTGGGCAGGCAGCAACGCTTCCTGGGTCTCTGTTAACATGCCGTTGACCTTGACCGGAATCCTGATGGATTTTAGCGCATACAAGTCTTGCTCCTGGATGAAGTTGTTGACCCGCTTGATATCTGCAACCTAAGAGAATTCAGAAAGGGGAGATGGGGTGGGAAGTCAGTTATTGAGCTCTTTTTTCATTGTATATAAGCAGCTCCTTCTAATGCAAACAATCACTTCATGAATCGCTTCTAAGGGGACACCTGAAACAATGTGCAATAATATAGTAAATGCATATATGAGTGTTGGCCAAACTTGGGTCTCTAGCTGTTTGGGGACTACAATTCCCGTAATCCCTGACCACTGGTCCTGTTAGCTAGGGATGATGGGAGTTGTAGTCCAAAAACAGCTGGAGACCCAAGTTTGGCCCACACTGGAATATATGAAAGAGTTTCATATATAAAAACAACTGCATATATAGAAACAATTTTTAAAACGCATACATAGCAGAAGCAGTTTAAGACAACAGCCATACTCACACAAAATCAGTTCAGATCCAATGCAGTGACCAGCTGGGATAATGATCTCCATTTAGAACAGGTGTGGGGAACGTTTGGCCTGCCAGGTGTTGCTGAACTACAACTCCCATCAGCCCCTGCAAGCATGGCCAATGGACAGAGATGTTGGGAGCTGAGCAGTTTCTGAGGGATGTAGCCTTGAGTTCCTTGAGGCTGGGCAAATGGTCAGATGCGCTAAAAGGCAGCATCCTATGCTGCTGATGGGACAGGGAGCAAACATCCTCTCCTGCAAACCCAAGTACATAGGAAGCTGCTGCCTGCCTAGTCAGACCATTGGTCCATCTGGCTCAGAACTGGCCACACTGCCTGACTGCAGCTCCACAAGCCTACCTGGAAATGCTGGGGACTGAACCTGAGGCTTTCTATATGAAAATCAGCTGCTCTGCCACTGAGCTACTCTTTCCCCAAGTACACAGAATTCAGCAATCCATAACTGGCTACCTTTTTTCCAGCTGACACTCTCGTTCCAACTTCAAAGCCGTTTCACCCAGCTATTTTTACCAGATGAGTTACAACAGCTAAACAGTTGTTACTCCTCGGCCACCCAAACAACAAAATGATTGGCATGCAAGCCTGGAAACTCTCAGCTTGACTTGGTTGTCAAAGGCTGCCCTTGGATAGGAGATGCCTTCCCCCATCTTGCCTGTCCATGGAGCAGAACAGAGTGCTCTTCCTTAGCCCTGCAAGGCTCTGAGCCAGAAATGTAAAAACAAAACAAAACCCCCACCACGGACGTCATCAATCGCTTCCAAGGAAGCTACTTCTTACTTTGCATCCATACTGCAGTGCCAATTTGTTCAGATTGTCGTCTTTGCTAACTTGGCGTTCCAGCAGAACCACATCCCCAACTTTCTCTGCGGCAGCCTTGCGCCTCCGTTGCTCCTTCCCCCTCGCTCGCAATTCCATGACGTCAAGTTCCTCCTCTGACGAGGAGTCATCCGAATCTGACGGCCTGCTTCTGAACAGGTAAACTTGGCTGCTTGAGAACTTTCGGATGCTGGCAGGAGCCTGGAAGGGCTGAGTCAGTGCCTCACTCAGCCTCATGCTTTACAAAAACCTCTGCAACACAACACAAAGCATTTGGAGTATTATTATTTTAAATGATCATAAAATGAGCAATATACCTTAACAACAGTTGGGAATCTGGGATGCCACAGATGAAGCTTAGCTCAGCAGCCATGGCAGAAGGGTTCAGATTACTCATTATGCTAAGTAAGCTCTAGGACAGGGACTCAGACCATGCCCATCCTTTAGATTTTGCTGTGACTCATACTCTGACAACCTCCTTTCTTTTTATCATCTTCAATACTGAAACCTCAAAAAGCACTTTTCCCTTTGGCTATTTCTGTAGCTTCCTGCATCTCATACACGGTTATGAGAAGGGATGGAGACACCAACCTATGTCTGGTCTATTCCATATCAGTTCTGCATTTAGTTCATCCACAAATCTGCTGCAGAAAATGGTCAGAACAATCTGGATTAAGGGGGGAAAACCTGCAATATTGTTTTTTTGGTATTTAAATACATATTATCTCATTGTACATATTTATAAACTATCATCACCATCATTATCTTTACTCTAAGGTCCCAGGATGGGTAACAACAATTAAAACACAGTGTTAAAAACAGTTTAAAACAACTTACAGAAATAAAGTGGGTGCTAAAAATATACACCTCAAGTGTCCAATGCCAGAGTAAAGAGCTGTGTCTTCAGCATTTGTCAAATCGGGATAATGAATGTGCCAGATGTACCGCTGGGAATGGGGGGAAGGAGTTCCACAACTGCCACAGACAAAGCCCTTCCCCAGCCATCCCTCCCTGAGCTTCTGAGAACATAGAATGATGAACACTGAAACAGCCTTCTACAATTGGCCTGCATAGCTTAGTACTGTCTACACCAGACATAGCCAATGTGCTGCGCTCCAGACCTTGTTGGACTCCAACTGGCCCCTGCCGCCATGGGCAACAGGGAAGATGTGGGTTGTAATCCAGCAACATCTAGAAGACACCATATTGGCTACCCCTGGTCTGCAGCAGCTGACAACAGCACTCCAGCATTTCAATCAGGAGGACACCAGGGATTGAACCTGGGTCCTTTGGCTTTATTGCTGAGCCCGTCCCCAAAGCAAAGGTTGAACATACCTTCCAGGTGCTCAGGGGTCCCCGTGACAGGAGTGACTCTCTGCCTTCCAAGGCTAAAGATCTTTTGAGAACTTACACGCCCTGTTTCAGAACACTTTATGTCCCAGGACAGCCTGCCTTGCTTTGATGACTTGTCCACCGGCAAGTTGCGTCAGGGAAGGCTCAGAGTAGCCCTTTCAAAATTGGTTTGGACCTTCAGTTATCCCATCCCTTGATAAATAATCATGACTGGGCCATAGACTCTGCCCCCACCCAGTAGTCTTTCTTCTTTAAATCCAAGAATGGAAAATCAGAGCCACATGTTCAGGTTATCTTATTCTCAGGTCTTTGATCTAATCCTTGGGGAAAATTAAGAGCCACTGCTGTTCTCACTTACTAGAACAGATAAGAAGGGCCCTGCTGCCAAATCAAGCCAAAAATCCTGTTTCCAACAGAGCACAGCCAGATGCTGCCTCCAACAGGCTCTCAAGTAGCATGAAAGCACCCTCGCTCTCATCAGCATAGGATTTCCTTCCCAGGCCCCTCAAGGCCTTCTCCTCTGTACATCAGGAGAATGATGCCAGATAAGGGGACATCGCTGTTCAACTTTCTATTGTTTTGGCAGCGTATCATATTTGTGCCCTAACCTACCTGATTATAATCTCCCAAATCAACTATTCTATTCTGAACTTAAAAATAGAAAGTGTAATGCTGGTGGTCAGCAAAAGAGGATCAAAGACTCTCTCAAGGCAAAAAAAAAAAAAAAAAAATGTAGTATAAACACTGACAACTGGGAAACACTGGCCTGTGAGTGCTCCAGTTGGAGAACTGCCTTTACCAAAGGTGTCATGGGTTTTGAAGACACTCGAACTCCGGACGAAAGGGAGAAACGCACTAAGAGGAAGGCACAATTGGCAAACCCTCACAGTGATCAACTCCCGCCCAGAAACCTATGCCCCCACTGTGGAAAGATGTGGATCCAGAATTGGCCTCCACAGTGTCTTACGGACTCACTGTTAAAACCATGTTTATGAAAGACAATCTTACTCGGCTACAAGTGATCGCTGAAGAAGAGGGAGGAGGAGGTAGGTGTTGCTTTTTAAAAAATATTGCCCTAAACTACGGGGGGGGGGGGGGAGAGAAGGGACCAATTAAAGCTACCTGCATTCCCCATTACCCTCCAACCAGATCGAAAGAAGTATCCTAGTAGAAAATAGTTGTGCAATTTTGGCCTCTGGACTCAATTTGGCACACAAACAGCCTTTAGATGGTAATTGTGTGTCAGCACAGTTTGACGTAAGCTGGCCCTGCCCTCTTTGGGAGCCCTCACGCTCTTTTTGCTGAGTCTCTGTTTGAAAGGCCCACACTGAGGGCACCACATCAATAGCAGCTCCACACATTAGGCAGTAAACAGCATGAATAAATGTGGACTGGATGTGCTTAAAAGCAAAACCATATCCCTTCAATTAGTTGACTAGCACAAAAGGGCAACAGGTCCCCGCCCCCGCCCCCCCCAAACCTACTGGGCTAGTTTACTACATGCACAAACAAAGCTTTAGTTAGCATCCCAAACTATGACACACACATCCTCCACCCCGGAAGTCTTAAGTGCTGCAGTCCTGAATTTCAATGCCTCAGTCATCCCCTGCCTTGTTCTGCGTTTGGGGTAGAGGAGTCCTACCTGCACACCTCAAAGAAAGCCGTACAAGTTAAAAAGAAAAACCACTCTCCACATCAACACACCCCTGGCTCCCTTTCTAAGCCCCTGGAGCAAAGAGCAAGGATTCCTACACATCATTTGTTTATTGCAATGGAAAATGGTGTGTGTGTGTGTGTAAATGCCCAGGCAAATTCTCTTCTCTGCCCACACTCCCAAGCAATAAAAGGAAACACTTGTAGCGTGATCCAGGCCAGATCTACTCAGAGGCAAGTCCTAGTGAATTAATGAGGCTTACTCCCAAGGAAAGTGGGTTTTTAGTATTGCGAGCCAAACGCCTCCAAAAGCAAAGCCTGGTCTACTCAGAGGCAAGTACCACTCAATCAAATGGGGCTTACTGCCAGGAAAGTGTGGGGTTTAGAATTGCAGCCCTTACAAAGAACAGAGGAGCCCCCCAGTTGAAGGGGAACCCAGAACTCCCAGGTTCAAGGGTGTCCCTTCCAGATCAGCTGCTCCTGATCTAATACTCCCATCCCCGCCAACCACCATTCAGCCCTACCTGCTTTTATTTGCAGGCGACCTGCTTCCCAGCTGCCCCTCTTCCTTCCTTCCTCTCGCCCCAGCTGCCTGGCCTCACCCGAACTTGCTGTGGCCTGCCTCTCCGGCCGGATAGTTCGGAATGGCCCAGGAAAGGCGGGCAAGAGCAGCATCGCAGCCAATCACCTGCTAGAATGGGCACGGCTAGGGCTTGGTGGGCGGAGGCGGGCGTAGAGCAGTTCCTTGAAGTCAAGTTCGGCGGAGAGGTCAGCGCAGGAACGTGCCTCGGGAGGCGGAGGAGGGAAGCGCGCGTTGGCCTTAAAGGAACAGCAGCCTTGTTTGTTTGTTTTTTAACCCCCTTCTTTCTTTGCTCCCCATAGATATTGGAAGGTGTGGGGAAAGGCAGTACTCTAGCAGCAGTAGCAGGGGGCTGAGCTTGCTGGGGCCTCGTATGAAGGCCGCTTCATAATTGCTGTCAAGAATAAATTGCTCCAGTATACCTGAAGGAGCGTCTCCACCCCCATCGTTCTGCCCGGACGCTGAGGTCCAGCGCCGAGGGCCTTCTGGCGGTTCCCTCATTGCGAGAAGCAAAGCTACAGGGAACCAGAGAGAGGGCCTTTTCGGTAGTGGCGCCCGCCCTGTGGAACGCCCTCCCATCAGATGTCAAAGCGATAAACAACTACCTGACATTCAGAAGACATCTTAAGGCAGCCCTGTTCAGGGAAGTTTTTAATGTATGATATTTTAGTGGGGTTTTTGGTTTCTATGGAAGCCGCCCAGAGTGGCTGGGGAAACCCAGCCAGATGGGCGGGGTACAAATAATAAATTATTATTATTATTATGAGGTAATTGTTGCAGCCAAATTCCTAGGAACAGGGGATGCAGCCTTGTTTATTTACTGCATTTTTATACCACCCTCTCCTCCAAAGATGGGACGCGGGTGGCGCTGTGGGTTAAACCACAGAGCCTAGGACTTGCTGATCAGAAGGTCAGTGGTTCGAATCCCCGCGATGGGGTGAGCTCCCGTTGCTCGGTCCCTGCTCCTGCTAACCTAGCAGTTTGAAAGCACATCAAAGTGCAAGTAGATAAATAGGTACCACTCCGGCGGGAAGGTAAACGGCGTTTCCATGCGCTGCTCTGGTTCGCCAAAAGCGGCTTAGTCATGCTGGCCACATGACCCGGAAGCTGTACGCCGGCTCCCTCAGCCAATAAAGCGAGATGAGCGCCGCAACCCCAGAGTCGGTCACGACTGGACCTAATGGTCAGGGGTCCCTTTACCTTTACCTCCTCCAAAGAGTTCAAGGGGATGCCCTTGTTTTTCCTCCCCTTCCCCGTTTTAGCCTCACAACAACCCTGCGGGGTAGGTGAGGCTGGGAGACAGCGACTGGGCGAGGTCACGCAGGTCTGAACCCCCAGAGTTTTTCCAAGCCCTAGGCCTAAAATCAGCTTAGTAAATTTGCAACAAGGCTGTAAAATAGTCCAGTAGTCCAGATAGTCCAGTATCATTCTCTCCATATTGCTGGTGGAAGGCTGGGGATTTTAACCCGGGGCTCCTTGGTCGTAGGCCAGCACTCTAACCACTACACTGCACTGGCTCTCAAGTCAGGATAACTTTGCATCAATGAAGACAAGGAAGACTTTGCTTAGACCTGCAATTCCTGTTGCACGCACCTAGACACAGAAAGTGTTTCCAACTTTATTTTGTTCCTTGCTTTCTAATTTTGTAGGATATGTTTGATACACATTTACTATGTTCTTCCAGCTTGTCTGTGATGTAAACTGTGCCAGCTCTTGCCAGGGAATGGCCCTCCTTTTTCCAAGAGCTGCGTGTGAGATTTCTGCTTCTCGCACGCAGTGGCGTAGCGTGGATTGTCAGCACCCGGGGCAAGGCAAGTAATTTGCGCCCCCTAACCCATGGATTTGCGCCCCCTAACCCGTGGATTTGCGCCCCCTAACCTGTGGATTTGCCCTAACCCCAGATGTTGCGCCCGGTGCGGCCGGCCCCCCCTGCACCCCCCACGCTACGCCACTGCTCGCACGCAGTCCATGCAAGCAATAATTTTCACATGCCTCCCTTTGTACACACATTCTTGAGTTCTTGTAGGGGAACTCCAAGTTGCACATGCCCCAGGCCCCATAAACCCTCTGGGAGCCCCTGGTTCTGCTGGTGAGCTTCCGAAGAGACATCTGCTTGGCCACTGTGAGAATGGAGTGCTGGTCTAATGGGCCCTTGGCTTGGTACAGCTGGGTTCTCCTTGGCCTCTGCCATTGTTGGACCATGCAATTGGCCAGGCTATTAGGAGCCTTTTGCTGATCAAAAGAACAATTCAGGTTTTAGCAGCAGACTTCAGACACAGAGCTGGAGAACAACACCCTGTTGTTTTGGAACTGATTGTGCATCGCCCATGGCTTTGGTCTGGATCAAACAATATGGCATGCATTAGGCCAGCCTTTGCCAACCCAGTGCCCTCCAGATGTTCTGGATCCCAACTGGGTCTGCGTGCTGTCTGGGGCTAATGGGAGTTGTAATCCAAAACATCTGGATGACACCAGGTTGGCAAAGGATTAAATAGGCTTTTCTGTCTTTCCTCTCTTGAAATCTTTCTTTTTTTAATAGAGCAACATTCATGGGCAAGGCGCTTAAACGTGCAAGTTGAAAGATCTTTGCCCCAAAGACCTTGCAATCTAACCTTCTGCACAGGGGATATGTGTGTTCCTCCTCAGTGAATTAATTCCAGCTATCGCAACATCACTGCCTGGGGAGAAGCTGATTTGAGCGAGGTATGTAAATTTGGCGCCGGTCTGTTTACCTTGGCACTTACTTTCTCTTTCTTTCTTTCTTTCTTTTTCTTTCTTCTTTCTTTCTTTCTTTCTTTCTTTCTTTCACAGAATTTTAATAAGATGTTCCTTGGATGGAGAATGTTTGTGTGTGACAAAACTACTGACAGCCTCACATGTGTTATCACATGTGTGTGGTTTTGTGCCAAAGCAGGCATGATTCTTAACTAAACAAACTTGGGACTCAGTTTGTTTTGGGACCCAAGTTGTTTTTATTATTATTATTATTATTATTATTATTATTATTATTATTATTATCATCATTAGATTTCATTTCATCAGTTGCTTTTTACAATAAAAAGTCTCACAGCAACTTGACAAAAATACAATATGGTATGTGACTTTTCAGACTAAACCTTTAGTGCAGCTGCACTGTGGAGCACATCTTCCCTCAAAATTAGACAGGCATAGTTTTCATCCTATTCTAACACCTTTAAAAAATTACCCAGGCCTTACTAGATGAGCAAGTCTATTCGCTGATAGGAACTTGTCTCCATTTTTTGGAACCTTATATTACCTGCTTTGTTGTATGGTATTCTATGATACTTCTAAACGCTTAGCAGTTCACCCATATTTAAAACAAATGAAAACATAATTGTCACGAGGATGAAGCAGGATAACTCTATGTGAAAGGTAGATGAATCTGTCAATCTCTGTTTCTCTCTGTTTCTCACTTTTCCAATATTTAATTCAGTTCTTCACATTTCCACACCGCTTTGCTGCTATTGTTTTTTAAGTCCACATGGAAGGCACCAGCATTTTAATGCAAATTTCTCCTAATATGCACATTCTTGTATGCAATTTTTGCATAATATTCACAAAACAATTTCCCATTGTATAATGCATTTTTGTATGCTGTTTTCACTTGTATGCACAGTTTACCCTGGAAAATGATTTTTTGCACTTTATTTGACTAAAGAACTGCCTTGCAAAATTTGAAGTGTGAATTTTGAAGGATGGCTGCATTTTGGTTCGTGTATTATTCTGGCAAGTACAAATTAAGTGGGCTTGCCTTTAAATCCAAACTGAGTCAGATTTGTCCTGCCTCCCTTATATATAACTGTTATAATGATAATTCTCCAGAGCCCTAGACTGGACTTCCCTTTGTTTTGCATATATCATTCTAAAAACACTTGGGTGTTCTCCAGCCAAGGCTCAGGCTGCAGCTGTTCAAATTGGCATCCAACTTGAAAGCTTTGTCCAGTACTTGCACAATTAGATATTGCAACCCATAAATCGTTTGAGCGATTATTACTTTTGACGTGATTCCTAATCTGGGATTAATAAAAAGCGGAGCCTAGTGAGATGGCAGGTTGTCTTTTTCATCATAGTTGGCCATGTGGGAATCCCTCTTAACGAGATCAATGGCAAAGAGTCAAGGCATTTTCAGAACTCAAAGGTGGCCAGTGAAAGGGAGGTCTTTTTATAATCCTTTTGTGCTGGTAACCTCTGGCACTTAGCGTATGTGTGGTGTTTTTTTTTGCAATTTTTAATATTTTGCTTTGTCTAATGCTGTGTTTCCCAAACTTGGGTCTCCAGCTGCTTTTGGACTACTATTCCCATCATCCCTTGCTAGCTAGGGATGGTGGGAGTTGTATTCCAAAAACAGCTGGAGGCCCACGTTTGGGAAACACTGGTCTAATGGGACAACAGGTTAGCTTTAGTGAAGGACAACAGGCTTGCCATCTCTTGCTGCATTTAGAAGAACGTATGAAGCTTCCTTATACTAAGTTAGCATTGTCTACACCAGGGGTAGCCAATGTGGTGGAAACCTCCAGATGTCATTGGACTACAACTCCCATCAGTCCGAGATACCATAACCAAATGATCAGGGCTGATGGAAATTGCAGTCCAACAGCATCTGGAGGTCACCACATTGGCTATCAACAGAGGTCTTTCCCAGCCCTACCTGATGCCATGGATTGGACTTGGGGCCTTGTGCAAGCAAACCAGATACACCCTACCCATGTCCTCTTCCTTGTATTTCTTTATCTATAGTTGGATATTCTACAGCACTCATATTAAAGGATAGAGGTCAGAAATGGAATGGAGAGCCTGAGGCCCTCTGGGTGTTGCTGGGAGTTGAAGTGCAAGATTCATGGCAGATGAGGCTATGAATAACTACTAGCCAACGGGGGCTATGTTCTACTTCCATTGCTGGAGGAATGCCATTAGATGGGTATCACAAGGGCACTGCTGCTCACACGTCCTGCTTGCTGACCCGTCAAGGACACGGACTCTGCAATCACCACCTGAGGCCCTTCTTTGGGTGCCTCCTCCATGAAGAACGGGCCTTTTCTGCAGTGGCTCCCTGTTTGTGGAAATGCTCTCCCCAGGGAGGTTCAGCTGTCGCCTTCATTGTACACTTTTAGACACCAGGCGAAAATGTTCCTCTTCAACCAGGCCTTTAGCTGATTGACAGCCTATGACATAGACTCTATGTCATTTTAAGTGGAGTTTATTGTTTCGTTTATTTTTGTTCTTGTTTTTATTGTGCACCTTGTGGTTTTATTCTGTATTTTTATGTTACGAACAACCCTGAAATCTGTGGATGAAGGGCAGTATACAAATTTAATTAACAACAACAACAACAACAACCAAATATTGCATGTTTAAATTTAACATTTGGTTGTTGTTATTATTAACAACTAACTTAGATATGATGCATTTCGTGTTGTTAAAACAGAAAGATAAGTTTAGGCTTGATAAGGAAGTAAGGGTTGCATTTTTAAAATCGCCCCCTTGAGAACAGAATAGGAGGGGGAAATACAAACACTTCCCCCATGGCTTCAAAATTCTGGAATTTTTACATCTCATCCCACTCAGTGCTTCTGGGTTGTTTAGTCGTTTAGTCGTGTCCGACTCTTCATGACCACATGGACCAGAGCACGCCTCCCGCAGTTTGGTCAGACTCATGTTTGTAGCTTCGAGAACACTCTCCAACCATCTCGTCCTCTGTCGTCCCCTTCTTCTTGTGCCCTCCATCTTTCCCAACATCAGGGTCTTTTCCAGGGAGTCTTCTCTTCTCATGAGGTGGCCAAAGTATTGGAGCCTCAGCTTCACGATCTGTCCTTCCAGTGAGCACTCAGGGCTGATTTCCTTAAGAATGGATGCGTTTGATCTTCTTGCAGTCCATGGGACTCTCAAGAGTCTCCTCCAGCACCATAATTCAAAAGCATCAATTCTTCGGCAATCAGCCTTCTTTACGGTCCAGCTCTCACTTCCATACATCACTACTGGGAAAACCATGGCTTTAACTATACGGACCTTTGTTGGCAAGGTGATGGCTCTGCTTTTTAAGATGCTGTCTAGGTTTGTCATTGCTTTTCTCCCAAGAAGCAGGCGTCTTTTAATTTTGTGACTGCTGTCACCATCTGCAGTGATCATGGAGCCCAAGAAAGTAAAATCTCTCACTGCCTCCATTTCTTCCCCTTATATTTGCCAGGAGGTGATGGGCCCAGTAGCCATGATCTTCATTTTTTTGATGTTGAGCTTCAGACCGTATTTTGCGCTCTCCTCTTTCACCCTCATTAAAAGGTTCTTTAATGCTTCTGGGTACAATAGTTATTTGCCTTATTCGGTAACAGGTTATTGAAGGCATAAAGTTTGGCAAAGTATTGGTTGTGATTCCAGTTCACTTCCATGTTTGTGATGTGTATATGATTTGATAAGTATCCTTTATTTTCTTTTTGACAAGTGTCCTTTATCTCAAGGGAAAATTTCCCTCAAGCAAGGTGCAAATTTTCCCTCAGGATGAAAATGTTGAAGGAGCAATTTAACAATTAGTCAGCAGGTGATGCTGTTGCCATAGATTATAACAAAATGTCTCCTCACAAGCTCCTTGTGAATGTAATAAGCCCTGTTTTCTGCTATATATTCTGGTCATAAGTTGGTACAGCGTCTGCTGAGGAGATGAAATAGGGTCAGGCTGGATCTGTGTAATTAGGGGCCACAAGAAAAGATGCCTGTGTGGTGCTCAGACAGAGTCTGAGGCCAGGAAATACCTAATCCTCACCCCAAATGGGAGTGTTGGCAGAGGTGGTTCTACCATTCGCTGAAGAAGGCTGCGAAGGGACAAGATTTTGGAAGTCAAGAGCTTTGTGTGCCACAAAGCCTGTCTTTGGGGCTGGCCCTACCATTAGGTGGGTTTGTTTATTTATTTTACAACTTCATATACCATTAAATGCCAAAATAGGGTTCTAAGAAGTCTGAGGCAGTATATGCTGGAAGCGGTGGTGCCAGCCTCCTGGCTGATTTCCCTGACCTCGCCATCTCCAAATTCCCCTCAGGGCCCAAACTCGAAACTTGTGGCAGTAGAGCGCATGATTTGCATGCATAGAATCCCCATGCTCAGTCCCCAGCATCACCAGGTTAGGCTGTGGAAAGTCAACAGCAATTCCACACGCAGCTTACGCAGGAAAAAGAATTGACTGAAGGAGCTGCCTGCCTCAAAGCACCCTCTATTTCTTTGGCAACAAATTGCCCCTTGTTTTCGTAACAAAGGGGGTATGTAGTAGACTTGCCTACGTAAGGCTGTTGGCTTAGCAAAAGAAATGGGTCTGACCATTTCAACAGGCCTCCTCTTCTCCAAACCCCAGTCTTACAACTATTGAATCATATGGTTGGTAGTGATTTTAGCCCAACCTCAGTTCTGCAATGCTCTTTTATGATAGTTTTAGTGGTGTTAGTTTTGCTGAGCTGTAGCCTGCCTGAGATCTATGTTCTGGATAGGGTATGGGTAGGGCAGTGGCATGCAGTGAAATTTTTCTTAAGGGTACAGTTATTGGCAGAGGCGCCAGCTTGCAAGGGTGATGTTGGGGGCATCATATGTGTGATGTTGTCCTGACATTGTGTGTGAGAGAGCATCATGCCTCCCTAAGCTGAACAGGATGCTGGAGCCCTTTTGCCTCCTTCCCAAATCTGGGTGGACTTTGGGAAGGTGG